ATGTCTGGTGTGACGCTGGAGGACCTGTGGTGCCAGTGCCAGGGGAATGCTAGTGCCACGCCTCACAGGCTACTAATCTTGAAGCAAATGAGTAAGATGCACGCGGCGGCCCAGCGGCACGCCGTGTGGTACGTGTGTGTGGTGCTCGCGCTCTACTTTCTAGGCCTCGTCATCATCATCAGGAGATCGGGGCGCACAGAACGGCATACGGCAGCCACTGCTCTCTCCTTCTGCTTCTCCCGTGCCGCCTCCACCATGGCCAGCCGTAGGAAGAAGCGGTCAAACAGTGAGCGCCATAACAGAGGGTCAGTAAACCCACCAGTAGAACCCCGTCAACAGATGGCTGGACCGTCCCTTCAGGTTCATCTGGTTGTTCCTGATGATGACGATGAAATGGAAATATCAATGGTAACGACGGTGGCCTAGCCTCGGGCTGGCTACGACTCGGCATGTAAATGGTGACGATGACTATCACATGAACAGTAATATGTGACTCCACCTGCGGATATCAACAGAGGTAAGATTCAAAAGCGATCTAAAAGTCAGAAGTTTCCTGAGAGAGATCATATATTCGGTAAACGGAGAATCTTCACTTAAAATCCGTGTCAGGAAAATTTCCCCCTGATAACCGTAACAGTGACTGCACGAAAACAAAAGTCTTTGTTTCTTTCAGCATTTCATTGTAAGGTAGCACCTGGCATTTATTGTATTAGTTTTTAGATGCAGGAATCTGAACTTCGTAAAAGTTGTGACAGTGTACGGAAATGAACAGATATAAGCTTTTGCTCGAGAATTGTTGATGCTCCCAAGAGCTTCTCATGTATGTCATCCAAATTATTTTGATGGCGGATTAACTAGAATGCTTAATCTCTTCAGGGGGAAACATTACTCACAACCTTCCCCTGCCATTAAATCTTTTCACGAAGCTCAGATTCCCACATCTAAAAAATATGTAAGTATTCGGTGCTCCCTTATAATTAGAAGGTGAAAAAAAAAAATAAAAGACTTGTCTTCATGTGAGCATTAACATCACGCACAGATGTATCACTAACGACAGCGTTTGTATTTACTTCGTTGCAAGCAATGTCCAGAAAATTATATGTGGGATAAATAGAAAGAAGTATGAACAAGCATGTGAATGATCGCAAGATATGTTAAAAAAAGAAATACTAGCAGTGCTGCATTCCGTCTTGTGCGGGATAGTGACCGTATTTGATAATTTTACACAGAGATATTTATGAACAAGATGTAGTCGCGTGTAAAGAGACACTTTAATTTGAACACGATAGTTCACACCCAAGTCAATAATCATCCTAATGAAAAATCTTAACCATCAAGTTGTAAGATGCCACACTCTTCAGGATCAGATCAACCAAAGTCAGTTCTTGTCCATTCAGTCAGGTCAATAGAGATATGGTTAAACCTTCCTCTTCGCGATGTCGATTAACTACTCTTATCTTACTTTAAATTGTGGGTCGTCATGTGTATATATGTATATATATGTCGTGCCGAAAAGGTAAAACTTGCGATTTTGGCTTAAATAGCAACATTCTTCTTCCCGAATATGGCAGGCGAAAATTTGTGTATGAAATAATTTCGACAAAATCATTCTGAACCTAAAGAAAAAAATATATTTCACTGTGTTTGTTTATTAATAAATTATTGTAAACTTATCTAAAATATATTTAGTTGGATTAGGCTAAATTAATTTGCGCTTGTTATAACAAGGTTAGGTAAGTTTTCTAAGCTTCTTTTGGTACAAAATTATTAATTTTTACATCAAAATAAATGAAAAAAATATATCTTTAAACGTATAAGATAAAATTTTAGAAAGGACTTAATTTTAAATGAGTTCTTGCTAATTGATCAGTTTTTACCTATTTGGCACTATATATATATATATATATATATATATATATATATATATATATATATATATATATATATATATATAATATATATATATATATATATCAACACTGCACTAGCCAAGGACTCGAACCATGTTTGTACTGGCCCGCTCATGGTGAGCCAGAACCAGTGACGCCTTAGACCACAGGGCACCCACTCTTACAAAGATGGCGCAGCCAGCAGAGCTACTGTTTGACCTGTTGTGTGTGTGTGTGTGTGTGTGTGTTTGTGTATGTGTGTGTGTGTGTGTGTGTGGTGTATGTATGTATGTGTGTAGTGTGTATGTGTGTATGTGTGTATGTGTGTATGTGTGTATGTGTGTGTGTGTGTTATGTGTGTATGTGTGTATGTGCGAGTGTGTGTGTGTGTGTGTGTGTGTTAGTTACCATTTTGTCCTAGGCACATGTCGATTAGACACTAGGCCTGTGTGTGTGTCAGTGTGTGTGTGTGTGTGTGTCACTGTGTGTGTGTTGTGTGTGTGTCAGTGTGTGTGTGTGTGGTCAGTGTGTGTGTGTGTGTGTGTGTGTGTGTGTGTGTGTGTGTGGTGTGTGTGTGTGTGTGTGTGGTGTGTGCGGTGTGTGTGTGGTGTGTGTGTGTGTGTGTGTGGTGTGTGGTGTGTGTGGTGTGTGTGTGTTGTATGTGTGTGGTGTGTGTGTGTTGTATGTGTGGTGTGTGTGTGTGTGTGTGTGTGTGTGTGTGTGTGTGTGTGTGTGTGTATGTGTGTGTGTGTGTGTGTGCATAAGGTATACACATACATATACATACATGTTCGTAAATGCTTCACTGGAACCAGGAATCGAACCCAAACATAAAGCCTTTCTGACCAAGCCAGTTTTAAAATGATAATCAAATTCACTTAGCTGCGATCCCTAAATCCTGATGTTCTACCCCGTCAAGCTTGCTTCAGTCCACACAGGTTTTGGACCACATAAGACAATTGTCATCGTCTGTTGGAGCATACAACAAGGTATGCCATGCAGTTCAGAGGCGATGGAAAAACTGAGAGTTTAAGAGTTACAGAACGTCAGAATATTGTGGGATTACCATTTAATTCAGTGGCTTTGTAGACTTGCAACTCTCTGAACACATGACGTAAATATATGAACATAAGATGAAAAAGCTAAACTTAATTTGAAATTACATAAGAATGATGAAACTGGGAGGACGTTCCTTAACGAGACTGAAGTGATTTGTGACTTTTCGAAGCGATAAGAAAATGTGATCACTCTTATACCTTACGGAACTGTGCAGCCTACAAAAAGTCTTATGGTGAGGCTTCACCAGACACTTTCAACAGTCTTACATATTAGAGTTGAAGCGCCTGAAATATTTACTGAGTATTTATTTTTTTTAGTTGTGGCTGATACTTTAGTGAGGTCTTCAACACCTACCATCACTTAAGATCAACAATGTGTGGGTAAGTGAAACTGGACTTAGCAATCCATGCAAGTGGAAACAGTGGCGAAGTATTACAAATATGACAGAGAAAATAGTGATAACAGAATAAATGGGAAAACAACCTTTATTGCCGAAGTGTAGCCAGATAGAAACTGAAGTTAAGGCGTAGTTAGATAAAACGTGAAGTTGCTTTATAATCAGTAAAAAAGAAACTTGATTGGACAAAGCAACACCTTGTACATTCGTTATGCTTCTCAGTATTTCAGTGTCTCAGGAGCTGTATACTGGAACCGTCGGTAGGGAGCCCATGCAACTCTTCCTCATCATCCTCTACAATACATGTTCTTCTCAACCCTTACCAAGTATAGCAAAATACTGAATCATTAAAAAGATCTTATGAAATATTTTTGTTCACACTCGCACTTGTGACTGCTAAAGGAGACCGACGGCCTGCTCAGTGCTTTTAATTTAAAAAGTCTAATATCAACTAATGTAAACAGAAAAGTGCAGCAAACACGGAGTTAATGAAACAGCAAAGAATTAATAAAAAATGAGTTAATAAAGTAGCCATTAAAATGTGTACAGAATATTTTGATCTTACAGCGAAGCCCTCGTGTGTCACCGAAATACAAAATTTATTTCAGGTGCCATTTTATTTACATCTTGTTGGCTTGTTTCTGTCATCCAATAAGTTAATATCTATTTAATTCATATTAATTGCTCAAAGTTATTATAAAAAAAACCTAGAGTATATACAGTATATTTAGTTACTGTATGTAATATAACTTTTCTTTCTTCTGTGGCATGATTGGATTTGAATGATTTTATTAGATTACAGCAGAAGCTGTAATGAAATCTTGAAAGGGATGAAAGAAAGCGAGGCCGATACAGCAGATACCTAAATCAAACCTTATGAAATCACGTATAATACAGCTGATGTTTGTATAACACACAATGAAGATAGTGTAAAGCATCAGCTGTACTCGATGTGTATAATACGCTATGAAGGGATAATATTTATCTATCTCTTTTATCTTAAACTGTGAAGACATATAATAAAACTAATGCTTATTGTACACTGTGAAGACATACCTGGGCTTCCCTTGAAAATAGTCTCGTAGTAAAGTAAGAATAGATTACATTATCAATAAAAGTAATTGAGAAGAAAAGATGAGGTGTCAGTGAGAAATTATCGTAAGGGCCAAACAAAAAAGGTCCCAGTATTGGAAAAGGTTTTGTTATAATGTGGAACAAGAGTAAAAAGTGAGGTTTAGTTAAGATTTCACGATAATTCTGTTAAGAAAAAAATAATTCTCACTAGAGTGAAATGATTTGACCTATATTTTGAGACCTCATACAAAAACTAAAGTCGAACCAGGAAGAGAGAGCCACAGTGGCCTTTCTACCGAAATCATCCATCAAATCAGGGATACGACGGTGTTTGAAAGACAATTCCTGACTGTGGCGTTCTCCAGCTATAACTTGCAAAATCTCACGCAAAAAAATAGACACGTGAATAAAAAATATTTACTGTACGTTTTCTAACGAATGCAACACTAGAACACCCTTTGTTCAACACTGTAAGATTTTCATTAATTCACCGACGTTTTGTGAATGCGTTTAAAGTCCAGAGTATTGCGAGATCACTGATGTTATTGAAATCACTTACGTTTAGTGAAGGGTTTCTAGATATAAGAAAGCAGTAGGATGAGAACGAGTATCTCATTCTGGTACTCGCGAAATTCTAATGTGCTTCGTACAACTAACTGAAATGTTAAAATGTCGATGTTCTCGGTCATTATTTAATAAAAACGAAATGCAATCTGGATGAACTTACAATTTAAACAAATACAAAAATCGACTAAGAGAACCGCCATTGACGAGACGATACTTTATGAACAAGAATCAAGAAATATGAAGCTCGAACATTATTCTCATGTTGAAGTTTACGTAGTCATTTGGGTGTTCACGAGTGGTTTAAAAGAGGTCATCGTTTTTTAATATTCAGATGCTCCCAACCTGACAAGCATCCTGTTGACATTTAGGAAAAGCGTCAATGCTGCAAAAAAATAAGTAACCCCGCTGATAACCTGCATAGTGCAGACAGTGAACAAAATCTATGATGACGAACTCCGTATTTCTCTATACAGATATTATTACTAAAATTCATAGATCAAATAAATTGTCAGTTCAAACTTTACGTTTTTAATATTCATTGCAATATATAACTGCTAGTTTAATTTGAACAGACAAATTGGTTAACGTTTGGCTTAATAAATGAAGAGCATTGAAGAGAGCGTCCGTCACCCACCCTTTCTCCTCCCCTTCTCTCAAGCGAGTCAGGGTGAGTTTGAACAAAGATAATTGAAGAGAATAACCTTAAAGTACTTAGTATTTTATATGAGTTGAGAAAAACAATAATGTAGGGTCCTTCGAGGTATGTATGAGCTAGTCCCACTGGCTTTTAAATACTTTTCTTCAAACTGTGTGTTTAGTGCTGTGTTACGGCGCTGAATAAGGTACCTCCAGCTGTGTGCGTGTTTACATAATGAACTAGGTACTCCGATTCCAAGTTCTTCGAACTGGGTGCCAGTAACTGTGTGTTATAGTGATTAACCAGAAGTGGTTCCCAGTACCTCAATGCTGTGTAGAACTGCTATGGAACTAGGTGTCGTGGTTCTCAGTTCTTTAAGCTGGATATCAAAGAACTGTACAGTATTACTTATGATGAGCCGAGTGCAGCGTTTCCCACCGCTTCCAGCTGAGTACCCAGAACTGTGTTTACCGTTGATGAACTCGGTGTTGTGGTTCCTGGCACCTCCATCTGGGCCCTAGAACTGCATTTACGGTGATGAACCTGGAATTGTGATTCCCAGTACCTCAAGCTGGGGGTGTATAAATGCTCTTTGTATCCTCAGATAAACACACAATAATTCAAATGTCTGGGGAGCTCCCCTGGACACCAAATATATTCTACACAGATAACGTATTTTGGTACCATTTGCTACGGCAACCAACACAGATATTAATCCATTAGCGTAATACATCCTGGTCCGTCTATGTGTTTGTATTTCAGGGCCTGGCTAGGTCTTGTGTCCTGACTCACGTAGTAGAAACATCTCAATAACTAATGTGGAGCACAACAGTTGTTTCATTTTGGTGGTTTTGGTTTTAGTTTAGGATTATTCCTTACTGTTTTTGAGTCTGCGGGAGAGAAATTATTTAAACATATATTGTAAATATTTTCAATAAAAGATATCTCTAATCAAAACTTAATTTTCTTGTC